TTTTTTTTTTTTTTTTTTTTTTTTTTTTTTTTAATTTTCACGTTTGCCATATTGGCGTAGCTGGCGAGTTTCTGGGAAATGGATGTTTCATTAATGGGTGTAGTATTAAGCAAAATATATCTTTTTCCTCATATTCTAAAAATAAAAATAACCTTTTAATAAATATTATTTTTGTGTTTTAATTTTTAAAATACTCTTGAATTAACTCGATTGCTTCACTTATCTTGTATCACGTGCCACAAAATGATTTCTCCCATTAAGCTAAATGGGGTCGGAGATCGTCTTCCATCCCTACCCAATCCTGTTTTATTCTTATATATAAATAAAGAAAAAACTAATCGAAAATTTTGAATTTTCAAATATTATTAGATTTATTACTATGTTTTATACGCTATATTAAAAAATATAAAATATTTTGAATATGTATATATTTTTAAATGTATAAAGAAAAGTTCTCACAAACATGAAAAATTATAGTCCTCACTATTTTCATGAATATCTTTAAATATAATATAAATAAGAGGTAGATAAAAGGAAAAAGTTGACGTGGCTGCTGACTTGTTGATTGAGTAGATGACGTGGAAAAAGGAGACCAACGTGGCAATAAAGAACCAATCCTACCCATTAAAAAAAAATTCGAAAATGAAAACTTTTTGCCATCTTTTAACTCCGAAATGAAATGGATTCCAGGATCTCCGTCGGGCAACTCTAGCTGTTCTTCAGCCCTAACACCGCCGCCGCCGCCACCACCGCCGCAAATTTCATCTGCAACCAACTCACCACCACCCTCTAAGTATGGGCTTTTGTAGTCGCTGTCATCGGAACCACCGGAGACTCCATCGTTGATTTGATATATATATATAAGAAAAGGCCGTTAATAATATGACTGCAATAAACCAAATAATTATATATATGTATATATATATATTTCAATTATGTGTCACAATCTTTCAATTATATTTCCCATAATTTTTCTCCTTTATTTATTTTCTTATTTAATTACATAACTTCGGTTTATGTGGTTTATAAATTGACAATTAATTACTAATTCATTTTCAAAACAAAAGAGAGGCCCATTAGGCCCAAATCCTGAAGGCTATGTGGACCACAAGCCCAAGTCGTTGAATTATGGGCCTATCACAGATTGGCCCAAATAGCTATCTCCTGGGCTACTTTTATTCCTTTTGACAATTATGTCCTTCCCATTACAGAATAAGGAGCGATAGTTCAAAATCAAAATTAGCTCAACATCGTTACGGGACTCTCTACGATCGTATGATATTATCCACTTTGAGTATAAGTGCTCGTGACTTTGCTTTGGGCTTTCTAAAAGGCTTCATATCAATGAAGAGTGTATTACTTGATTATAAACTCATTCCCTAAATTAGGTGACGTGGGAATTTCATCTAATACTTTTCACATTCAAAAAATGCCAACGCAACGAGAAATCGACCACTAGTAACAAAGCGAATATAAGGTGTCGAGAGGACTGTCGCAATCAAGTGCACTTAGACAAAAAGGTGTGATCGAGTCGAGGTGCTTTCAATTAAGCTTATAGTTTACTTAATCATGAATCTTTAGTGAGAAGGTTCGTAAATCTAGTAAGAGCCCGTAATTAATTACAATAAACTATTTTGAATTAATTATGAAAATTGAACAAAAAAAAGAAATATATTTGGAAGAGATCACATCCCATGCAGTTGACTGAGAGCAACAATAAATTCTCAATCTCTTCACTATTTTGTTTTTGTTTTTATCTTATCGAATAACAAATCAATTACCCACTCGCTTTCGCTCCAAAGTTTACTCCAATCTGTCTCTCTGGCCGATGAAATCCTCTCCATCGTCCTACTTCACTCTCCGGCGACCACTGAGGCGGTCAGTTTACCTCTTCCGCCTCTGCTTGCCGTTTCTATAGGTGATTGACGGCGGGAAGGGAGCTGAAATCGGAGGCGAAATGTACAAGAACCAGCTCCAAGAGTTGGCGCAGAGGAGTTGCTTTAATCTTCCTTCTTATTCGTCTGTTAGGGAAGGTCCTGACCATGCTCCGAGGTTCAAGGCCTCCGTTAACTTTAATGGCGAGGTTTTTGAAAGCCCTAACCATTGTCCTACTCTCCGGCAGGCGGAGCACTCGGCGGCTGAGATTGCTCTCAATTCCCTTGCGAATCGCGGTCCATCTCACTCGCTTGCTGCTCGGATCCTGGTGCGTATTCTCGCTAATTCATTGTTCTGAATAAGTTCCTCTTGTTGTTGCGAGTATTGTGTTTTACTTTGTGTTGGATTTCACTTTTATTGTTCTTCTTGATCTTCTTTTCTCAATGATCAGTAACTTTTACGAAGTAGAATAGATTGCGTCGCTTGACATTTTTCCGCGCCATGTTCGAGTTCTATGTCTCATTTCCTTTGCCGGTCTTTAAACCTATTATCGCAGATCAAAATCTGCTAGAATTGGAATTTCGATACTTCGTACAGCGTAAGTTGGTTTGATTTCCTTCGATTCCTGAGTACGACTTCACCGTACGCAGCGGTGACGCCTGAACGTTCCGGCTTGCGACCTCTATCGGTCGGAGTGGAGTCGGCGATTACGATAACCTGGCTTTTTCATGATGCAAAATTACATAAACACCCTTACCTTTTCCCCTTCTTTCCTCTAATGGCTGAGCGGATTCCTAACGCAGTTGTTTTTTTCTGACGAAGCCGACTACTCTAGACTTTAAATTCAAGAAACAGAGTATATTTTAGGAAAGTTACTGACGGAAGCCCTCAACATTGATGGCTACCTGGGTTTGTTTTGTCGTTATCAATATCACTACGGGACCAGTTGCGTGCGGGATTTTCTATGGGGATGGTTGGTAATATTAAATTTGCTTGATGCAGTGTATTCAGTGGCCGAAATTTTAGCTTTGTAGCTTTAAATTACTGAAATCTCGAGAGGAAAGTAATTAAGAATTTATGTTTTAACTTGTCCTATTAGCTTTTCCTTTATACGTCCCTGAAAGCCTCTGTATGCGCTGCTCAAGTTGATGGCTGTTGATGTTTATCGTTCTATGATGTCAATTCTGCATTGTTTGTTAAGGATTGTTGAGAAGAGTCTAGATTGGCTAAGGATTTGTCCGTAAGAAATAAATCTCCATTGACATGAGTTCTTTTGGGAAACAAAAAAGTAAAGCCACGAGAGCTTATGATCAAGTCGATAATATCATATCATTGTGGAGAGTCGTAATTCCTAATATAGTTGCTCTGAATTTATTCATATGTGAATACAGGTCTTTTGTTATCTGAATTTATTCATATGTGAACACAGGTCTTTTGGTTTAGTGACTAAGTAATATCATTATGATCAGGACGAAACAGGGGTTTACAAGAACCTCTTGCAGGAAATTGCCCAGAGAGTCGGGGCTCCGTTGCCACAATATACAACAGTCAGATCAGGACTTGGACATTTGCCTGTTTTTACGGGGTCTATAGAATTGGCTGGAATCACGTTCATTGGGGAACCTGCCAAAAATAAGAAACAGGCAGAGAAGAATGCAGCCTTGGCAGCTTGGTCATCTTTGAAACAATGTGAGTTTGTTTTTTGAATTTTTCTTCCTGAAAATTTAAAACCATCGTAGAAGATCATGTAGCTAGCAGAAAATGTTATACATTGTCATTTTCTATGACAGCCCTCATCCCCCTGATTCAATTTTTCTCAGCAGTCTTTAAGATTCTTATTTAATGAGCTTAGTGTGCTTTAATTTGGATATTACATGGATCTTGATCATCTTTGGAAGAAGAATTTGGCATTGGATTTTCATTGATATATTGATTGTCTGTCATTAAACATGTGGATGATTTGTAGTATGTTTCCTCTATCCAGTGGCAAAAGAAGCGGCAAGTTCATCAGCAGTTGAA